AGCCCCCCCCGCTCCCAACCCCGCCACAGTCTGCAAAATCTGTGACTTGTCGTTTGAAACAGATCAAGTTCTCCTACAGCACATGAAGGACAACCACAAGCCCGGGGAAATGCCCTATGTGTGCCAGGTCTGTAAGTACAGGTCCTCCTCCTTCTCTGATGTGGACGCACATTTTAGAAAGTGCCATGTAAACACTAAGAACCTGCTCTGTCCGTTTTGTCTTAAAATCTTCAAAACTGGAACTCCGTACATGTGTCACTATAGGGGCCACTGGGAAAAGAATGGTCACCAGTGTTCCAAATGTCGGCTACAGTTCTTAACCTTCAAGGAAAAAATGGAGCATAAGACCCGGTGTCACCAAATTTTTAAGAGACCGAAACATCTGGAAGGGTTGCCCCCTGACACGAAGGTCGTTATTCAGGTGTCAGCTGAGCCTGTTGAATCGGAATCTGTGAAAGTAGCGTCCATCACTGTGAGCACAACTGACTGGGAACCGTCTTCCCCCAAATCTCCAGGGAGACCTTCCAAAAGGTCCCACTAATTCTAACCTAAGTGAGCACCCCAAACCCTTCCTAGAGATAAGAGTACTAACTATACACTTGCTGTTCTTTAGGAACCAAGATGATGAACTGATTCGTAAATGGACTGGTTTTCTTTCTTTCTTTTTTTTTTTCTTTAATTTTGTGATAATGCAGGGTTTTTGTTTGTTCATTTGTTTTTATTTTGTGAGAGTTTGTTTTGTTCTGTTTTAGTGATGGGGGCTGGATCCAAGGCCTCACAAATAATAAGGAAGTTCTCTACCACCCCACTCTTAGACCTGTAGTATTTTTTGAATGAACAGTGAGTGTTATTTAAAATGCGTCTGTTTTCATACTGTTAGGCTCAACACAAGGAACATCCTTGGGCCTGTAACCTTGTAAATGGAAAACGGAAGTGAAACCTATTTATTAGTATTTCATGTGACTAGTAAGCTTGAGAGCTCTTCTCCGTGAAAGTTTGGGGTTTGGTGGGCCTCACAAGGCCCTCTGCTTCTCCGTGAAGATCTATAGGTAGTTAACATTTGCTCTTCTTAAATGGTTTAGCATGGGTAAGTGGACAGGCACACATTCATTGCAGTCTTGGAGCCAAAGAATGAATACTGCCTGGATGTCTTTACCCAAAGGAAGATCTAAGGAGGCCAAACCCTTCTTGTAAAATGCCTGCATTTTGTGAAAAGCCCCTACAAATACGAAAAGCACAGCTGTTTCCACGTGAAGCAGCCACAGTAATTAGACTGGGAACCAGTGTCCACGAACTTCCTATCGCCTGATACTTAGGGTGTTTGGATTCATGTTCTCTCCTCCCAGTTTGGGCTAGCTGTGTTTGAAGAATGAACTGGCCGTATCCTAATGGCCACCCAGTAAAGCGCGCTGTCTTTTCCTGTGGGAAGAACCCTTGGGATTTGTAGCTTGAAGTGTATTGAACCTTCGTTGTAACTGAAAAGGTTCAGAAAAAATGGCACCTGTCCAGTCTATGGCCTGGGCTGAAATTTGTTCTACTTTTAAGCTGGAATAGGGACTTGCCCAATGATATTGGACACAGCACAAAAAAAAATTAAAAAAACAAATAATTAAAAAAAAAAAAAAAACCCAGGGCGACCAGAATTTACGCCCACCATGGAACCTTTCCACTATGTGTGTATGTTACGGTTATTGAATATGTGAAGCTTACAATTTGGTGATGTGGTGCTTTTTCCCCCCCACTTGGTGCTAGGGATTAGACCCAGGGCCTTACATATACCAGGCAAGGGCTCTGCACTGAACTAGATCCCTAGTCACAGTTTGTGTCTTGCCTCATATTTTGAGTGATTATAATGAATAGCTTTCCCTTTGGTTGTATGTATAACTTCCCCAGTTGATGACACTAATATTGCTTGGGTCTTACTTGAAGCACTTTTGTGCAAGATATGTCCTAAATGAAGATTTGCTTTCTCCCATCTAAGATATACTACGTAGCTGGTTAGTTACTAGGAATAACAACTCTTTGTCGAACTGTAGAGGTGCCCTCTGAGGATTGGCCCTCTGCAACTCCAGTAACATTAGCTGTTTCTTTAGAAGTTTCCAGGGCTGTCTGTCTGAGCCTAGTCCAGTGCCATCTACTGTTCCTCCATGTCTAGCCCAGGTGCCCAGCTGCTGCTTTTCATCAGTCAAGGAGTCTGGATGCATGCTGGTTATAAACACGGGTCTGGGGAAACCTCCCGAGAGAGTTTCCCTTTTCTTCGTTGAAAGGTACGCATTGTCTTGCTGGGTGTGGTAGCACACACTGGTAATAAATAACAGCTCCAGGGAGCCTGGGGCAGAAGGATCTGGAGCTCAGGGTCAGGCTGGGCTGTTATTAGTTCTGGCCAAACTAACTACGCAGCAAGACCCTTGTCCCTTATAACCAGAAGGAAGAAAGGGGCAGTGAGGGATGTGTTCCTCAGATGTCTGTTCCACTTATCCTTCCTGGGATGAGGCCATCGCCAGGCCTTGGCATCTCTGGCTCTTAAGATCGAGGGAGCTGAGAGGTGGCCAGTGTCCTGTGTTGTATTTATTTGCTCTGTGCTTGATCCATTGATCGACGGTGATCTGCATCCTTAGTTTTAATCTCTCTGATAGGCCTTTGCAATGAGTTCCCTGGGGCCAAGGCACACTAACTTTTTACCCCTGTACTTTGCCTTTAGACGTGGAAAGTGTTGTTTGTCCCACTTGTTGTGGTGGGAAAGTCCTACTGTGTGTGAATGAATCTGCGATTCGTGTACTGTCTATGGTAAAAATAAGAACCTGTGTTTAGCGAGACCTCCGTGTCACCAGCACCGTTGCTGTAGTTTGCTGTTCCACTAAAGCATGCTCCTAAGGAGTAGGGATTGTTGTTTACTGCTACGGGAGGCCCCAGGGGTCTGGCTCCTGCCTACCTATGGCTCCCCCCTGCTGCCACTTCCCAGCCCATCCCGCCCCACCGCTTCCCAACCTGTCTCCCTGACGCTGCACTATTCGGACCTATTGTATCGGCCTTGTTCCTCCTGATGCCAAGGCTGCACAGGCTGCTCCCTCCCTCACAGTGCTCTCCCCTAAGCCTGCATGGCTCTACCTCACACGTGGTTTATCAAGCTTGTCAGGGTTTTTAGAGTGACTAGAAATTGCCCCTGCTTTTGAAGTCCTAGTCATCCCTTCTCTCTGAGGGCAGTTTGCCTCAGCATTGCACCTCTCTCTTCCCTCGTCAGTCTAGCAAAGTTTCCTAGTCACAGAACTTCAGGAAGAAATAAATCATTAGCAAGAGCTTTGGTTCTGTCTTAGAAGTGAGCTAGCTTAAGTCCATTTCTGTGCCTATAACACATACATAGTTAGTTGGGTCTTGGGAAGCTTTCTGTTTTTATATTGATAGCTCTGTCTATTTTTAAAGCAGTGACACTTTGTTTTGTTTACACATGTACAAAATACCTGTCAAGATTACTATTTTGTTACTCTGTGAAGTCTGTTGCTTCTTTTTCAAATAAAAGTTATTATTTTGTTAATGTTGCCAAAGTTATTTATAATAGCAATTAGAGAAATAAAGCATTTTCTGAAAACCTTTTGCTTTACTGTTTTTTTTTTTTAAACTTTGAACACTATTTTAGCTTAATTTTTGTTACTGTGTTTGTGATTTGTGTGTAGGGGTATGGGTGCACGTATATCACTACACATGTATGGAGTAACTCTTTGTGGCCGGTTCTCCTGCACTGAGATCCAGGAATTGAACTCCAGCCATTAGACTTTTACCTGCTGAGCTGTCTCTATTGTTCTTGGGTGTGTTTTTTTTTTTTTTTTTGAAAAGACTTTATTATGTATACAACATTCTGCTTCCATGTATATCTGCACACCAGAAGAGGGCACCAGATCTTATAACGGATGGTTGTGAGCCACCATGTGGTTGCTGGGAATTGAACTCGGGACTTCTAGAAAGAGCAGTTAGTGCTCTTAACCTCTGAGCCATCTCTCCAGCCCCTGTTCTTGGTTTTAAAGAGACTTGCTAACTAAGGTTTATGAATACATTGCTTAAAGAATTTCCATTTTAGGATCTTTATATAAGTATCCCTTTTAAGTCATTATATGGAGTATATAAAACATTTTTCCTCCTATGGTAAAAATAAGTTAAATTGTAGAAGTCCTTCAACCTTAATGAATGCAGTGTGAAACCCGACATATGCAAAACTTTGAAACCAAACCGAGGAGCAGACAAGTTTTACACACATAAATACTACGATCAAAGAGTTAGACCAGAGATTTACAAGGGCTTTGGAAGTCAGTGTGATGGAGCTGAAGCCCCTTTGCCCAGTGTGTCAGTTTATGTTTAGATTCTCTGTTGGCCTGGATGTCTACTACGTCATTTTGATTACTGCAGGCTTTGTAGTATGGATTGGGATTAGACAGGATGATGCTTTTGTTCATTTTACTCAAGATAGGCTTGATGCTTGCTGATTGTTTTGTAGTATACACATTTTAGGATTTTTGTTTGTTTTTTGAGACAGGGGTTCTCTTGTATCCCAGGTTGGCATCGAACTCAAGAGAGCTGCCTGCTTCTGCCTCCCCAGTGCTGGGATTAAAGTCCTATGCTATCACCACCTGGTTTCAGGACCCCTGCCCCTATTCTTAGAAGGATGTCATTGGTATTTTGATAGAGATTGTTTTAGGTAGAACACCAAATTTGGTATTTTTTTTCCTCCAGTGGATGTGTGTTTTCTTAATTTCTTTTATCAGTGCTTTGTAATTTTTGTTGTAGGGCTCTTTTGTCCGCTCTGTTGTATGGTTAAAGGGGATGGGAGGCTTTATTGTAGATATGAAAGAAAACAGACTCATCTGGTAAAGTTCAGAATATAATGGAAATGGCTAGCAGACAGGACCTGGCTGTGGAAGAAACAGGTGCAGAGAGAGGAGAGACAGGGAGAGAGCCAGAGCGTCCACGCAACACAGAGATCCTATCAGGGTTAAAAGGAGACAAGCTTGGGGGATGGAAGCCTGGAGGGAGTTTAGGGTAGTGGGGGAGGTGTGGAGCTGGGACAGCAGCGTGGCCTCTGAAATGTGTGGCAAGTCCTTGTGTAAATGAGTGAGCCTGGAAGGCGGGCACTTTGGT